GTGTAGAGCGCTTATATAGGCCAGAGAGTGTGGTGGAGCCCTTGGGACTGTTTCAGACTATTGTGCACCGCCACGTGGGTGATGGGAATCAAACCTAGGTCCTCTGGAAAAGCAAATCAGTGCTCCTAATCGCTGAGCATTTCTTAGTACTAATGTACATATTTCACTAATAAACAAATAACATGCTTCATACTTTTATTGAGTACATGCTGAATTTATAAAGCAACTTGAGGCTTGGCATGTTTATGATTTCTCAGATGTTTCCACTTGTTAAAATTCTATTTTGCATGATTTGTTTCATAATTTTCATTATAAAGTTATTACTATTGCAAATGGGACCTTTTATTTCACTATTTCCTAATACATCTTGTGTTATGAAAATTCTAATTATCATATGTCAATTAATGTTTAATGCCCTTTTAAATTATCGTAAATTTCTTTTGTCTCTTCATTTTTTATTTTTGTTATTTCTCTTTATTGAAAATAAAGTTTTCCACATAATATACCCTAATTATGGTTTTTCCTCTCCCTCTACTCCTCTCAGCTCCTCTCCACTTACCCTCTCATCTGGATCTACTCCCTTCGTGTCTCTCATTACAAAATCAACAGGCTTCTATGGGATAATAACAAAGCATAATATAATATTGTATGATAAAACAAAAACGAACATGAGAATTTGATAAAACAGATAGAAGTAAAGAGCCCAGGAAAATGCAAAGAAATAGACACCCACTTATTTGCACACTCAGGAACCCCATAAAAATCACTGAACTGGAAGCCTTAATGTATACACAAAGGATACTCCTCTTGATCAGGGCTCCCTAAGCCCTGAGGGAAGGGATCTAATGGAGACATCCTGATCAGGCCTCAGTCTTCCAAAGTCTCTCATTCTGCACATAATGTCTGGCTGTGAGTCTCTATATTTGTTCTCATCTGCTATAGGAGGAAGCCTCTCTGACGATGGCTGAGCAAGGTACTGATCTGTGAGTTTAGCAGAATGTCATTAGGAGTCATTTTACTGCTAATTTTTTGTTTTGGTTTTAGACCAATAATATTTGGTTTTACCCTAGGACCTTGGACTATTTAGTGTTAGGTTCTTGGTCACCCAAGGAGTGTCAAGTAAGGGTTCCATCTCATAGAGTGGGCCTTTAGCCAAATCAGATATTAGTTGATTATTCTCACAAACTTTGTGCCATCATTGCTCTAGCATTTCTTGCAGGCAGGACACCATTCTTGATCAAAGGGTTTGAGGCTGGGTTGCTGTTGTGTTTTGCCTTTGGTAGTGAGCAGAGCACCTTCCTGTATCAAAGACACTAGAATGTGGGATTGAAGGTTCTATGGAGACATGAGCTCAGCTTCTCTATGTTTATTGAGTTTGCGTAGGTGTTGTCTTTAGCAATGCAGCTCTGCCTGCAGTTTATAGAGAGCAACCTATAATCTTGGTGACAGTCTCAGTTGTTTGGGGGTTCCCATGGGACCCCATTGGCTAACAACTCAGATGTAACCCAATGCTAGTGCAGGAAGCTTCATCCTGTGCCAAGAGATGGCCAGTTGGAGCTCTGTTTCCCTCTTTATTTGGTGATTTCATTTAGATTTCATCTTCATATGTGTAGATATTTAGGAAGTTTCTGCTGTATTAGGTTTTCATACCACTGCTCAAATGGACCTTTTAGTCTTTAGTCTATCCTAGTACTCCCTCATCTCCCTTTTCCTTTGCCATCTCTACTGGATCCTCCTGTTCCAGCTCCTCCCCCATCCATAACTATCCATTCTATGAAATTTCTACTTATCTTCCAGCTTGTTGTTTTGGATGTGTGCAGCCATGTCCCAATCTAGCTACTACTATGACCTGATCCCATATATTCTTTTGACCATGTGACATTGATCCTCATCTATCAAGATTCGGTTTCTATGTTCCCACCACTTATACCTATGCAGGGATATGTGATTTCTGCTTAGTCACACTAAGAGATGTATTTTTAGCTTGGGTCTGAAGGGACTCAGCTGTCACATTATTACAAAGCCAATATAAAAATGTCAGGCACGAAGGGAGGAGGGACAAAGGAGTGTAAACGGGGTAGGCAAATAGGAACAGAGTACATGCTATGTATTTAGGAAAATGCCAAAATGAAACCTATTATTTTGTAGGCTAACTAAAAGTTAATATAAAGCGAGGTACAGATAAACATTGGAAAAATTCTTCTAATTATATCATATGGGTGAGTAAAAGAATTATAAAATAAATATTCCAATTTTTAAAAAGAACATGTTGGGGCTGGAGAAATGGATTGTGGTTAGGAGCACTGACTGTTCTTCCAGAAATCCCTGGGTTTCATTCCTTGTACCCACACAGCTTATAGCTGCCTGTAACTCCAGTTCTAGGGGATCTGACAACTTTTGGTCCCTATAGACACAAGTCACAAACGTGATGTGTGGATATAGATGCAGGCAAAACAGTCACCCACATTATTTAAGAAAATGACAGGTAACCATAGGATGAAGCTGAGCAGTCACTTGGAAAAATCATAGCCTCAGGAGGTCACATTCATAGCCAGCAGCAGTCAGTGGACATGCAAGTAAGCCAGTCTTTAGTGGCTGTAGCCACCAGCTGTTGTCACCCTATCAAGTATCAGGGGCCCATACGCAAGTGCACTCTATCAAATCCTGTATGTTTGCTAACCAAGTAAATATAATTTGAACTTAGTTGTATGGGTGGTTTCTTATCATTGTTGCTCCTGTTAACAGTAAGGCATAACTGGTCCAGATTTTGTATATGAGTGTTTTAAGTCATAAATCAGAAAATAATGACCATTACTCTTCACATTTTACTTTACAAGCTCTTAAATTTCATCTATCCATATTAACAGGTAAGAACCACACAGTCAGTGCTTCCTTCAAATTCAGGAAGATGCGTCAATCAATATGCCTTTTCCCTAATGATAATGGCTAGACAAAGAAGCCATTTAATTTCACTTTAGAAGGTGTATATTAAGATATAGCATACAAGAGTTAGAGGCCTAGATATTTCATAAACATGAATGGTCTGATTATTTTAATTTTGAAGGGACAATTTATATAGTATCCATTTGCATGCATGTGACCCTCACTCTGTCCTCCAAGGAGTATGACATCATTAGTGTAATGGAAGCTTGATGCCCCATGGAGGATTATACTCATCAAGGCCACTGAGACACAATTACAGCCACCTTAAAAATACTGTTGGCATTGTGTAACAAACAATTTTAATAGCTTCATACCACATATTGGGTTACCCTGGCAAAACTAATCTTCTGGAATAATTCCTGTTAAGTGGATAAGTGGAGTCATCATCTAAATGTGTTTACAATTCTTCTTCTTCTTCTTCTTCTTCTTCTTCTTCTTCTTCTTCTTCTTCTTCTTCTTCTTCCTCCTCCTCCTCCTCCTCATCACCACTCCTCCTCCTCCTCCTCCTCCTCCTCCTCCTCCTTCTTCTTCTTCATCTTCTCCTTCCTTTCTAAGTCCATTAGTATTTTGTATATAGGCACAGATAGTTTACTAGGAGTTTCATAAGAAAATACAGAGTGATAGCTTCAATAAAGGCAATTTAGCTTCCTCAGTTCTGGAGGCTGTAGTCTAAGACTGAGACTTAGCTGGTTTAGCTTCTCTCTGTGACTTGCAGTTAGATTGAATTAGAGGCCTGTCAATGGCCCTATTTTAACTTAAACACTCCTTAAAAGGTATTATCTCCAAATACAGTCACATTCTGACTTACCAGACATTAAGGCTTCAACATGTGAATTGTAGGCAGTACAACTCAATTTGTACTTTGAATGTGTTCTTTGTTCAAAAGGGTGAGTTAAAGGCAGTTGTGAAGGTAACCACCAACTCAGGATCCTTCTGTCCTTGGCAATGACACTATTAATTTATAGGAGCTGCCCAAGGATGTGGTATTGCTTTGCTTTCCTGTTTCAGTAGATTTTTGCATGATCTTTTCCTATGATGTAGGGAACCAATATGGCAATGCCTCTCAGGTCAGCCATATTTCTGCCAATTATACCTCTAGAGATGGGACTTATAAATGAGTGAGTTCACCATTGAGGAAGTGGGTCTGGATTTCAGAAACCTTTGTTTCTGTTTCCTTTGGTTTCCGCTTTCTCCAGATGTCCTCTTTGCAGTCTTGCAGGATGAAGTCACTTTGTGTCTATTTTGCGATGTACAGGGTTAAGTTGTGTTTTCTTTTGAAAACTGTCCTAAAATCTAGTTCTTTCAGTACATAAATTAAAATATTTTATGGTCATTGATAGTGATATGTTTGGAATTCTTCCAAAATATTTTATGCTACTTGTTAAGAGTTTTTTGTTTTGTTTTGTTTATATTTTTTGGTAAGCATGGTTGTTAATTGAATTTTTCTTCTGGTTGAAATTTTTAATAAAATAGTGTTTAAAATTGGGTATATATTCTGTAATGTATGAACACATTTAGCACTAAAGCACATGTCTTTGAATTATCTGCCAATAAATCACCAGGAGCCTCATAAGACATTCTTTCTTCAGGGAATCCTGAGCCCTTTCTAGTAGTCAATTGGGGGGGAGGGTAATCAGGCTCCTTTATGAAGTGGTGGTTGTAGATAAAACAAGAGAACACATTTCTAGGTGCCCATGGGGGTGGGTTTTCTAGCACTTTCTAATTTGTATCATCAAATCAAGTCATTTTTTAGAACAAATGGTTTGATATTAATTGTTGATCTATCTTAGCATGTACAACCAATAGTTATACTAAGTAATGTTTTATAATTGGTATAACACTATTTTCCACCTTTCAAATAATCATGGTCAAGAGTTTATAAGTTAGATTCTTGAAGTATTCTTTCTAGAATTCTGAAAACATACCACTTTTAAAATGAAAATCATAGGAATGAATGGGGTATAGTCCATCTTCTTTTAACAGGTCTGCTTCAATAGAAACAAATAAGAATAGACACTTAAACCAGGTTGTTAAGACTGAGATGGACCATGCAGACATCACATTTGATTGGTTGATCTTTATTAACAGTAACGTTTGCATGTGGGGAGTATTTACATATTAAATAGGAGGATTCAAGCACACTTATCAATTTGACTAAATTGATACTATTACTAACACTGCTCACTTGAGGCAACCATGACTCTGTCACCACAGGAATCACCTTTCCTGCCTCCTCTTGGGCCCATATTGTGTCCCAGAGTCATTACTGAAGCCACATTTTAAGACTAAATATGAATACCTTGATCCACACCTGCCCCTCCAACTTTATCATACTCCTCAACAAGAAACAATCCATTTTTCTTGATTAAATGGAGTTATTATTGCAGAAATGAAAATTCAATGACCAACTTTAGTTTTAAAGCTAGAAAAGAGGTAAAAATGTCATCAATAATGAATTTGGACAGAGTACTTAAAACAACAAGGATGAGTTATTTTTGAAAGCAATACATCCTATTTTGCACATATTTGTATATAAAAGTTGTCCTCCCTCAGGGTCAGGGAGATAGGGTTGATGCTATGGCCCCTTTGAAGTTTTGTCTCCTCACTGCTGGTGCCAGGGCCAAAAGAATTCAAGGGTAGCTCCTTCCTGCTTCTCCTTTTAGATTTGGATCTCATTCCAGTTTAGGCTTCTCTTTCTCTTCTTCCATACCTAAAAATACAAACAAAAAGATTTATTTGAGCATCAGATGCAGCACTATTGGGGGGGGAGGTGTTCAGAGAACCTCTGTCTCCTATAGCTTACTTCCACCCACCTTTCCATCCCCTCCTGCTTCTCCTAGCTAAGAAGAAAAGCAATTTACAATGTTTTCTAGAAACGCCCTTAGTGGCCTCTCTCCCCACGCTTTCCTGACATCTCTATGACACAGTCTGGTCCTCGTGTTTCTGGGAGTAGGACCCTGGGGCAGGATGACTCCTGACTCATTGGTTTGCGTGATGGATACTCCAGCCGGATTGTTTCTTAACCAGCCCCCAGCAGCAGGAGCCATGTAGCTGATGCATTTAAACAGCTTCATTTATTTTTCACTTCAGAGTTTGGTCCATTCTCAAAGCTTGGATTTTGGGTTTCTGAAAGCCTAAGAGCTTTTCTTTTTGAAATTTACTATTTTTAAAAAAGTTCAAGGAGGCTTAATTAGTCACAGGAGCTGTTTCTGTTTCACACACACACACACACACACACACACACACACACACACTTAACCCTACCCCTTGCCCCATGGTAGGGCATGAACCTGGAGCCTCAGTCATGCTAGGAATCACTGTACCCCTGACTATACTTTGGTCCCATACTTGTGTATGCTGAAACTCAAGTTCTGCCTGCTGGAGCCAACCCATCCTGATCTGCTTTTCCTGAAGGACCTGTATGTACTGGATCAGGAAGTCTCTGTCTATTGTCTGTAGTGAATGTTTGGTGATGGTTCATTTTCCTGGAGATGAAATTGTTCAGTCTGCTCTTGTAAGTTATACTTCAATCCAGAAATCCCACCAACTTCTTTTTTTCTTTTGCTTCTAGATTAACATTTTTCTAATCTCCCCCAAAGTTTTTGAATACTTCTTGTGTTTGTTTCAATAGTGATAAAAAACAAAGAAATTCAAAATACTGTCTTTCTGGTCCTGTTTGTATTCTTTTATAAATGCACAGATCTTTAGGGGCAGAGATCTTTAAGGGCAAAATTGTTTATGATTTTTTTTTTCCTTACTTACAGCCCTAGTGCTTGGCAGTGTCTATTTCATAGTGTCTGTGCAGCTAATCTTCGTTGGTAATAAATACACTTAGAGGAGGAGGTCTCTGAAAGCAGGACTAGCAGAAAAGCAATACACAACATAATAGAACCTCACAGTGATCAATCATAAACCCACCCTCAGTGGGTGGCAATTATTCTAGGGGTAATTAGGGCTCCCCCTCCTCCACCACTCCCAGCCAGCCTCATGGAGTCTGGAAGAGGCAGTGGAATGTGAATCAATGCTCTGAGAAGGTATCTTCTCTCATGGTCGATTTTCACAGGCCAAGAACCGGCTGAGATCTAAAACTGTTTCTAAAATACTTCCCATGGCTCACGTGAGGGAAACATCACATCTAGGCACAAGGGCTCAAGGAGAGAGGAGCTGGCTGAAAGGAAGAGCATACACTGCATCTCCGTTGTTGGGTAGGTAACCAAGGCAAAGACAGTAAACAATACAGTTTCCCTTCAGACAGCATGCACACACCCGAGTCCCCACTTCTGTCCCATGTTCTCTGCACAGGAATAAAGAAGCTGGGGATGGACGGGATGGAAAATCGTTCCTTATTGTTTGTTTGTTTTTGGTCTCTTTCCTCCAGAATATTCTGCTGATGGGTTGGTGTGGCAGCAATGGTGGAATCTTCAAAGGAGGACAGAGGAGGAGGATCTGGGCTTCCCTGACTTGGAAGGGAAATGGCTCTTCACATATACTGATTTTGCAGAGGGCAAAAATCACACAGCCATAAAAAACCAAACTAATCCAAACCAAACTAAACCAATGCCCCCCAAACAAACAAACAAACAAACAAACAGAAACCCATCAAAGAGCTAAGGCAGGCTGTTCCTGTGGAACACAGGGGCCAAGACTAACCCTAAGGGAGGTATCCACACATATTATCAAGCAGGGAGATGGTTCCACTAGGGTGTAGTGCTCAGAAAGTGAGAGCCTGAGGCTTCTGCCAGGGGTCAGGCACCCTGGCTGGTGTTGCAGGGAAGGGGCCTATCCCTGCATATGGAGGCCTGTGCCTAACTCCCTCCCCGGAGCCCCTCATGCCTATTCTCTCCGTCCTTGTCCCTACCTTTCACTCTTGAGCACTCGTGTTTCTGGTCTTCTAAAATTTGACTCTCGTAAGAGCAGCTGCTTTAGTCAGAGTTGCCAGAGTTAAAACAGAGTCTTAGCTGAAGAACAGAAATGCTTCAGGTGTCATGGGTTGAATTGCACAATCATATGCCAAAGTCCTGACCCACCGTACTTCAAAATGGGAGAGATTGCCCAGGGTGTGGCCAGATAATTGTTCTTAAAGAAATTAGGCATCTGACTCATGGATCCAAGCAATGGCTGCAGCACAAGCCAGAATGAGAGGCAGTCATCCAGAAAAACCTTCTGAAGGATGATGTTCTTCTCCTCGAATTGCAGGAGACACCAGCATTGTCTTTGAGAGTTTTATACTCAAAGAAATTACCAACCTGAACAAAAGGCTCAGACACAGCATGAACCTGAGGGCCAGTGACACAAGGACTTTCATTCCCTACCTCTTCCTTGGTTCCAGAGCACCCTGTCCCCAGACACAAACACCATGATCCCTGTCCAGGATTTGGGAGAGGGTGGATCTTCTATTCTCCAGGGTTTGGAAGGCAGGGCCCGACTCCTCCTCGTGAACCTCAGGGCTAAAGCATCCAGCCAAAGAGGATTATTCTCAAGCCTTTAAATTAAAGGAAATTTCCTCTGCTTGCTTTTAGACTTGCTTGGGGAGAGCCCTTCTACCTCCTTCATTTCTCCCATTTGGAAGGGGACTGTACATCCTAGGCCTGCTACACCACCATGTTTTAGAAGGAGGTAACTTTGTGTCTGGTTTTATAGGTTTACATGAACCAAATTTTATCCATACATGATTTGTAGGTTTATGTCATACTTCAGAAAAGACCTTTCTTTCTCTTTATCCCTTCCTTCCTTCCTTCCTTCCTTCCTTCCTTCCTTCCTTCTCTCTCTCTCTCTCTCTCTCTCTCTCTCTCTCTCTCTCTTTCTTTCTTTCTTTCTTTCTTTCTTCTTTGGATTAAACAGTTGATCCCAGAATGGCTTTTGGGGGCTACTAGAGTGAGGAGAATGCACTTCACAACAACAACAACAAAATTCTGATTTTTAAGTGTTGGTGCATTAAAAAAAATCTCGCTACATAGATAGAATAAAATGTTTTGGTATGGAAATTTAGTATGAAGGACTACAAAAATGGCTTAGTTGGGAAAGTACTTGACTTGCAAGCATGACCCCTGATTCATCTCCAGAGAACTTGTAATCCCAGTTGCTGAGGAGGCATATGAGTGTCAGACAAACATATTCACATACACACACACACACACACACACACACACACACACACACACACACACACAGTTGTGAGAAGTCCATCAGTGGAAAGATGCTGGTTTGACACAAACAACAGTCCCTAAGGACTCCACTAAATAAATGTAGACAAAATTAATCTCTAAAGAGAAATAAGCTATAAACTGGTGACTGACTTTCATGCATGCCATGTAAGAAAACAACAGAGACCAGCAAAGCTGCACAGACAGTTCAGAAAACTCAGTGTTGCTATTCATTTTTAACTCCTTATTCAGCGTGGCTGGTAAGCAACATTCTTTAGTCTAGATTGGATATTTATCTCTTCTGCCATTCAGGCAACTCCTCAAGGAAGAAGCAGAGTTATGGTCAAATATCAGCCAGAATTGAGTACATCCAGGGGACAGAGGACGCCAGAAATTTTTTCCCAGGACTGCACATATTAGCCATTCTCTGAAGACAGTGAGGAAACAGTCTTGCATTTTATTTCAAGAACATTTTTAAGGGCACCAAATAATTCTATAATTTTAAAAGAGAAAGATCACTGCTTCCTTTGAATGGAGGAAACATCATGAAAAGACTAATGTCTGGTTCTCCAAGCTGTGGTCTGAAGGGATTAAAACCGGGGCCCATTTAGCATTGGCTGACATGTTTACTCACACCATCTCAGAAAAGCACACACAAAAACAATCAGATTCAATGACTGTGCAACCTCTGCTTTATTAGTCAAGTGGACTGAGCTCCTGCACAGTGACTGGCCTTCAGTCATGTGATCAACATTGGTGGCATCTAGAATGACAGACCATGTCTGAGGAGATGTCCAGATCTCCCTGAAACTCCCATAACAGCCTCAGGATGTGTTTCCATGCAGGACTCAGATCACTACATGGCCAAGGTCTTGCCTTTCCACCTTCCAATGTTTATGTATTCTTACATAGATTTTGGACAGGTTTGGCACAGCTTAGATAAGATTGTATGTCTTTCCAAGAAGGAGGCTTTGCTATAAATAGAAACAAAAGCGAAGTCAAGTCAAAGGTTAAGGGACCTTTAGCAGCAATGAAATATATTCTTTAGTGACTGCATCTCTCTGTGACCTTCCACTCTGGCAAAGGGCAGCCACCTGGACTGTTTATAGTTCTGGCTTCATGGTCACGAGATTCCTTTGAGGCTACCGCATCTATGAAAAGATGACATAAAGAGTGAGATCTGGTGACTTTTATGGAGGCTCTTCCAACAACTTACTATTTAATTTAGGGTCCTTTGGCTATGGCAGAATTCTGTTAATCATAACTGGCTTCACTTTTGTTTTCCTGTTAACACTGTGTTTTTTTCAATATAATTTTACAAACATGCTTCTTTTATCTTCAGGTTTGGATGTTTTACTACCTAATAAGACCAAGTGAGAAATAAACCTTTCAGGTAACATTGCCAACAGCTCCTAAATTAACACTGTAATAATAATAATAAAATACAAAAATGAAGCTTCCATGGAGAGCCCATGTGGAAGACTGAAGAGGAGGCTGCCGCAGAAGTTTTCCTTGGCCAAGGCTCTCGCAGGCAGTACTGTTCTTGTTTTATGTGCCCTGAACGATACTCACTTCTCTGTGTATCCCAGATATAGCTGTTCAGTACTTCTCCCAGCAGGTACAGGAAGTTCATTAGAATTGTTGTTGACCCAAAGAAGATGATCCTGGCTCCTGAGCCAATATGTTCCAGGAAAGGGTACACCCACATGCCGGTGACATGATGTATCCAGCACACCCTGCATTGGAATTGGAAAGGAGACAAAGATGGTGTCACGGCCATGACAGATGTCAAAGCTGTTGTGTTACCAATGCATGCCCATCACACCAATGAGGAGCTCCTGTATGGCCCACACTTAGGCTGTTAACATCTTGTAGAATTCTAGGACAGTTACTCCAAGCAAGAAGTCAACATTGATCTGTCAGTACCAACCCAACTGCTGCCTTTCTTTGCCTTTCTCTGCTGTGTGCTTCCTCTGTCCCAGGAACTGTGTCAGGACCCCACACTGCACTGAGTGACACGTCTCCCTAGTCTCCTCCTTCCTGGCAGTGTTTTCTCATCTTTAATGACACTTAAGAGGTTTTGGTCAGGTATTAGAAACTTCTGGGTGATTTAATACTGTTATACAATCCTTTTAATCTCTTCTTTATACAATGGAACAATGTAACATTAGGCAATCACCGTGTAATAAAGCTGAGTGAGTATAGGCCAGCTATCTTGCCATACAACCTTTCAGTGAGACAGGGACATGAATTGCAAGCACTGGAGCCACCAGCCCATCATGCTGCAGATACAGGCTTCCTGCTTCTCTAATCTACAGATCCTGTACTCACTTCTCCTCTAAACATTTGTGCATGCTTACTTGGAACCATCTTGTTTCTAGGCTGGATGTTTCTGGCTCTGTGGGAACACCAACATCAACCAGCATTGCTTCCCAGAGCTTAGTTGCAACATCTGCTTTACTATCTCCATCCTGGCATGGATACTGGTAGTGGTTTTCTGTATTATTTAGGGTTCACTATTTTACCAAAGAGTACCAGTTTTGGAGAGTGGAGAAAGTACAAATAACTATTACATTGGGAAGAAAGATTACTTTCTATATTTTAGAGTTTAAGAATGCGAACCCCCCCCACACACACACACGAAGGCTTCATCAGTGGCAGGAAACCATGGCTCTTCACTACAGAGCTTGCATTATCCAGGTGGGCAAAGCCATGGAGGCAGAACTTTGGGTGGTGATGCTGAAAGAATTTCACTTTTGAAATGAGCATAGCACGGACACACAAAGTCCAAATCACACATGAGTACTTTCATATGCATGTAAACATGCACATTTATGGTATTGAAACTTTAGAATTAGAATTCTAAACTTTAGTTTAGAATTCTGCTTTATCTCCAGAATAATTAAAAGTGGATCCTGTAACATCAATACATTAACACTCAGAGCAGTCAAAGTTTAAAGCAACCCACGTCCATCAAGAGATGAATGAATACACCAAGGGCTGTATATAATACACAATGGAATGCTATTTTGTATAAGGAAGAATACAACTTTAGTAAACACTACAGCATACTGAACCTTGAAAACATGATAATAAATAAATCACAGGACAGCTTCTGACAATTCCATTTATATGAGCCACTGAAGTAGGCAAACCGAGATACAGAGAGTACCATAGAAATCGCCATGTATTACATCTCTGTCAAGAATGCTCCCCACAACCCATGTATTGAAGGCTTAGTCTTTAAAGCAGCAGTATCTGTGGTGGGGCCTCTGGGAAGTGAATGGATCATGAGGACTTGGAACTAATCAATGGATTAACCCATTAATGAATTCTTAATAAGTCAACTCGCTACTGGGAAGTTGAGCAGGCTATAAGAGTTGAGCAGGCTATAAGATGTGGAGTCTAGTTAGAGCAAACAGGCTTCTGCGGCTTTTTTTTTTTTTTTTTTAAGATTTATTTTTTATGTATACAGTGTTCTGCCCTGCATGCCAGAAGAGGGCACCAGATCTCATGACAGATGGTTGTGAGCCACCATGTGGTTGCTGGGAATTAACCTCGGGACCTCTGGAAGAACAGCCAGTGCTCTTAACTGCTGAGCCATCTCTCCAGCCCCTGGGACATGCTTTTGAAGGGTACACTTCATCCCTGGCCCCTTCCCTCTCTCTTCCTTCCAGTTTCCATGAGATGAGCACCTTTCTAGCTCTACTGCTCCCTCATGGAAGCTGTCAGGCCAGTGGACCATGGGCTGAAACCTTTGAGATTGTGATGGACGAGAACCCTTTCCTCCTTTTACACTGTTTTATCTCAGGGGCTGAGGGGACTGGAGGAACAGGGAGTTTGTACTGAAGATGGTGAAAAATTTGGGGGCTAGATATAGTAACTATGTCATGTAAGTGCACATTTAGAAATGGCTGTTTCCATGGTATTGACTTACTCAAGGCAAAATACTTCTTTTAAAACAAAGTTAGCAAAAAAATTTTTTAAGCTGAAGCATTTGTGGAGGCCAACAAAAATTAAATTGTTGGAATTAGATTGTGGAGTTTGATAGGACCTGTCCTGCTAGTTCATAAATCACTGGCAGTTGGATCTTCCTTGTCTAGTTTCAACTAAGGTAAGGAGGTAGTATTGCAGGAACTAAGTGGCACCCGTGTAGAAAATATGCAATCTACCCAACTTAATGTCATGAGATAGTAAATTATTTTTACACATCAATTACAAAATTGTGACTTGACTCACTGCAAATGTTTCCTCCACTAGGCAAACTGGGGGCACGATTCAACTATGAATGTTAATTATACTCTGTATATCTGCTCTGGTGCTCTACTTGCCTTTGGTGGACTGAGCCTTTCATTTGCAGCTCTTAAAGATCACTTCTGATGCCAGGCCTGAGACTATAATGCACTTTTGATCTCATTGCAACCAAACTACAATGCCAAATGATAAAACCACTGTCATAATCTATGTGTCTTTAGACGACTTCTAAATTTCTATCTCCCAGGTGGGATCTTGGACAAATGATAATTCCAACTTAAGCTTTCCATGCCTCATCCTTGTACTACAGGACTTTCACATTATCTGTCATTTTTTTATTATCTTATAAAACCCCTTACAAGGGATATTTATCCTCATTTCACAAGTTAAAAAAAATCTGAGGCCAAATTAAATGACATAAAAAGCTTGAAAAGCTAGGAAAGAAACACACAACTGAGTTCCCTTTAAAATATTTTAGTGAATTTTTGATAAATTCACACATGTATATAATTCATTACAACCACACTCACCATCCCCTAATTACCCTTTCTTATCTCCCTCCATTCCCTTGGAACCGTTTCTTGCCAACAAGTCCTGGTTCTAGCTTCCTGCCTCTTCTTTCCTTGAATGAGAATAATTAGGATGCCTGTATGAGCATGGGTGCGGGGGATATTTGCTGGCTCTCGGGGAACTGAACGGTGCCCGCACTACTGAAGAAAAAAGCACCTCAGCAGACATTAATTGCCAATAGCTCTCCAATTAGGAGCGGGGTCTCAAGAGCCCCTCTCCCACCCATGCTTGGTTACCTTTTTGTTGTCTGGACTTGCTTTCCTTAAGGCACTTGATATTGTCTTAAACTACTCATATCTCTTCCCCCTTTCTGACTTTTTTCTTTTGATTTGGTAGGTCATCAGCTCATCCCAGGCATAGATGCAGAAGTCCTGTTATTTGGGGTTACACCTGGATTAGTGTGAATGATATACCCACTTGTCCTAACAGGCTATGATTTCATCATTTGTTTCCTTGACATTATCACAGTTAAAGTCTGCACAAAGATGACTCACGGCCTTGCTCATCTGTGAGTGGAGAGTTCTTAGTTCTTGGGTTGCTTTCAATTGCTGTCTCATTTTTAAAGCTTTCTCATCTAAGTGCCCGAATATGCTTAAGGCAATGGCACTTGCATTAAAATTTTTATCTTCAACCACAGTGTATGTGTGCATGCATGCCTGTGTATACATATATTTGTACACATTTATTAGTATTATAAGGCTTATGGATTATCCTCTTTATTAAGTATACCTCTAATCCATTTACTTGAAATTTGCAAGTGAAAGAAAATGACACTTACCCATGTCTCCCATTTGAGCACTTTGCAAACAGATCCAGCAGTAAACGAGGCAAGGGCAATGCCTGTCCTTGTGAGTCCAGTCTAGTGGGAGACCAAGTTATTACAAGAGCACTTGTAAGAGTATGGGTACAACTGCAGAAGGTCAGGAGCTGGAGAGCTGGCTCAGCTGTTAAAGGCTAAGGCTCCCAACAATGACAAAGGCCAGGATAGGATTGCCATGGGTGCATAGGGATTATTTCCCACTGTTACAAAGATTGCTCATGTTCAACTAGACATATTTGGATATTCTCTTGAATATTCAGCTTTCTTTCAAGCCATTCTTTCATAGCTGATATGTTTAAATGCCTTTCATCAATGTACAATACAATGTTTCCAACAATTTCACAACCATTGCTCTTTGTCTCTCCTCTCCAAGGCAAACTCTTAACTGGTGAATAATCACTGACTCCTCGTCTTTACTGTGTATTGCTCTTCTGCCAACATGCCTTAATTCTTTTTAAATATATAGATTTTATTTTATTGTGTTTGAGTGTTTTGCCTGAATGTCTGTGCACTATGTGTGTACAGAATCTATGCAGGCCAGAGGAGGGCATCAAATCCCCTGGGACTAGAGGTACAGACAGTTGGGAGTTACGATGGGGGTGCTGGGAATTGAGCACAGGTCCTCTTGAAAAATGCTCTTAACTACTGAGCCATCTCTCCTGTCCCTCAGCTTCATTTTTGATGTCCCCATACATCATGCTGGCTGGTTTGAACACCACTTCTCTCTCCTTTTTCCCTCTGCCACTTTGATCACTCTTTTTCTCCGTCTGTAAGTTCACTATTCATTACTCTACATTAAATGTGAATTTTATGGTTTTATTTTAAGTGCAGTACTGGTTGCCTTCAGCATGTAAGTGTATCACATGCTTTTTTGGGGCTATCAGAAGCCAGGAGAGGCTGTCAGATACCCTGGATTGGTGTTACAAAGGTTGTGAGTTACAAAGTGCATGCTGGGAACTGGACTCAGGTCCTCTGAGGGAGCAGTAAGTACTTTTAATGCTGAGCCATCTCTATAGCTATGAACTTTCCCTGAGGCTAGTTTCTAACTTTTTTTAAAAAAATGCTATACATTCCCTGTTGATAAATTCATTC